GCCCGATGAGACCCAAAAAAGGACAAAAGGAGACCAAAGGAGATAAAAAGGATAATTTCTAGTGCTGTCCCACTGTTGAATTCCTCCAAATCTTGACACCATATCACAATTTACTTCATAATGCTAGACTTGTTTCTTTCATTCCTCACTTCTTAAAAAAGATTATGATGACCGGTGCGCGCAGCCTTAGGCAAAGTCAGTGAACCTTAACCGATTATGAATAAATACCGAAAAGAGGGTGTGTGAGATCATTTGGTCAAAAGGCATTAAGCCAGTCAACACCTGTCGCATTTCACCTAGCCCATCTAAAATGGATTTGTCCGAAGAAGAAGTGAGCTCTGATGAAGCTACTCCCGAAGAAACTAGTAGCGAGGAGGAATCCACCGAAAGCGAATCGGAGGAATTGGAAGTCGAAAATAATATCTGGAGAAGAATGCAAGAAGAAACCATCGGAAGACATCATAAACAATWTGAAATATTGATGGAGAATTATCAACGAAACGGAGATAGTGTTGAGGTGGCAAAGGCGAAAGCAACCAATGATTTAGTTCCTATCTTTAGGAAGGAACTTAGAGAGGTTCTATATGAACACCTCAAGTGGATRCATCAACTTAAGAAAGATCCAACTTTCAAAAAGATAATGGAAACTAAGAAAAATCTAATAGATGATGAAGGTTATGATTGGGAAGAAGCCATAGAATTAGCCATACACAAGAGAAAATTTCTTCTGAACAAAATGTTTGTCAAAGTTGAAATCCCAAAGCAAAGCACAGTKAAAAACGAAAAGTATAATCCCTACATGAAGAAATTCTATTAATCCTCCACATTATGAAGTAAATTGTGATATGGTGTCAAGATTTGGAGGAATTCAACAGTGGGACAGCACTAGAAATTATCCTTTTTATCTCCTTTGGTCTCCTTTTGTCCTTTTTTGGGTCTCATCGGGCGTCATCGGGCCACATCGGGCCACAATATCGGGCTGTATAAGTTCTTCAGACATAGAGAGCGAGAATCATATCTGTTGTTATCACCAACTTAAAACTAATAGTAGTATGGGCCGCACACGAAGAAACTGTCCTGTCTTTGGATGTGGAAGCAGAAATCTTGCTCGCATAGCAAACCATCTCGATCAAGTACATGGAATGGATACCAATGAACGCATGAAATGGTTAAAATTTAGTAAAATTGGAATAACTTTACCTTTGGAGAAAAAAGAAACAAGGATGGACAATGTCGAAATCAACACTGAGAATGTTGTTGAACAACTTTTAAACCAAGTAAAGAAGAAGCAAGCAAACTTGGATAATTTCCACGGAATGTCCGAGTATGAAACAACTCGAGAAGAATGTTTAACAGAACAAGGCTCTCGCTCAAATAAATGGTTGACTTTATATAAATGATAAATCAGTTAATTGATATTTTTGTGGCCTTTACTATAAGAGTGAACATTATGAACGCCGATATATTTATATTTACTAAACGAAATTTCTTCTGTAAAGCGTTGAACAGTACACTTATGATACATATTAGAGATTTTGAATAGCGAAGAGCACTTTGACCAGTCATCAATGCAAGGAGCAATAGAGGAACTTTTGAATTATCCTGAAAAAGGCCTTTTGGAACATGAAATAATCATCACTGTCGCGAAATAAATTTATTGTTTGTAGAACGAGTTTGTAAAATCACACAACTAAACCTGTTAAAGAAACAATAAAAGGATTATTYTATGTACTTTRTCGATAATTAGTATTCAGTTCTTTTGTTAAAATTGTAATCGGTGTACCGTGTCTCMATTKGACAAGCTTGAGTAAGCTCATGACGTCATAGCGTCAAAATGCTTTCCGGTTACCTCGTTCTGAATTGTGACGCCACTTCCTCTTTTTGCCGTGACATGTAGCGTGACTTATGACGTCAGTTCCCTAGAGCCCCTGACCCGTAGCGTGACGTCTTACGTCACGCTGATTGTTTGTTAGGGTTTGGACCAATCAGCGTTCGAGATCCTCCCATCCTCCCATCCTCCCTGGCGCAGAACCCTCATTTTATATCTACTGGCGGCGAAATTTGCTCATCTTCAAGTCGGTCTCTATCAGGTATTCCAGAGAACTAACTCTGCAAGTACCATATCAGGGCTGCCGTGGTTCTTAACAACAAACTGCTTTCCATAGTATGTCTAACCAATTAAGGAATGGACAATATCTAGCGTGCGTCCATCCAATGAGGGATGCACGCGGATAGTTGGGAGAGCACGAAGCTAGCGTAAGAGATGCTGGAGACGCATAGTGAGACATTTTTACGCATCGAAATGTCATATTTTATGTTCTGATCAAGCGACATGATCGTCGGTTTGTGTTGACTGTTTCCTTGCCTAAACTCTTGAGCTGAACAAGATGTGTGTCACTAGCATCGAGTTTGATCTTGAAAACTTTGTGCCTGCTGACATCTTAAGATTTCTTGAGAACTTTGGCTGATTTAGGTATCTTTCGATGCCGTCACAGAAACCTAGGAGGCTCTTCTTGCCGTACGTTTCGCCATCATCCTTTTTCCTTGGCTCTGCCTTAAATCTTCTCAGATTTGCATCAAGTTGACCAATCTTCGTGTTTTCAAGCTCTATTTG